GGAGGATGAAAATGTTAATGGGAAGACTCAAAACAACAATGGCAAAACACTTTTCTGCATAAGTCCAGAGGTGAAGCAAGCATTAGGGACATTAGAGAGAGTGATCTCAATGGTTAAAAAGTCTAGAACAGATAATCATACATCAAGCTCTTCGGAAGAAGAAGGAGCATCATCACCGTCTCAAAAGCTAAATTCAAAGAACACTGCGATTATTTCAAGTAGCAAAGTTTGTATTCAAGATCCTAAAACTGAAGTTCTTGATGAAGCTTCCTTCGCACATTATCACAACAACAATAGGTAAAAAGTTAAAAGAATCTCAAGAAATCGTTTTGCGCAGTTTAAAAGATTTAACCTTTTCTAAGTTGTTGTTATTTTACAGACGAAGTGGATCGAGTTCTTTTGCAAGAGAAAGCAACAAAATAGCTCCTGCATCCCCCGAGATCGATCTTACAACAAACTCTGATGAGGTCACAAGGATAACAATTTCTCAGGCCACTACTCTTTTCAGCCAAACAACAGAGAATAATGACGACAAACCGAGCGGTTTAAATGGAGGTAAGAGCTCGATTACGCAGAGAAAACGTAAACCGCGCTGCTTCGGATTCAGGTGGATGAGAAGGACTTAAAAACTGGGATTGGTAATACCAAAGATTTTGTGTCTTTGATGTTGCAAAGAGTCTATAACAATTGCTATATATACAAGCCTTACAAGGAAACATTAATTGTTATTACTTCACTTTGGATAGTGTAAGATTTGCAACAAGTGTTTCAACAAATATATATGGATGTAACATTTGTAAAAAATAATACTACAAGAAAGTTATGTATAAATTAATGTATAGGAGATTTGGATTAGTCGATTTCTTGTCTATTGATATTGATTTGAAAGTCCATAAAGATTACAAAAGCTTTAACATTCAGAAGGCATTTGTAGATTAGATTAGCAGTTTTGAATTTGAGTCTCTGTACCATGCTATATAATGTAGAAAAATTAGAATATTTTTGTTTACCTTTAATTTCATAGATGAAGATCTAGAATGCAGTAGATTAAATGCAGTATGTATGGGTACGGTTGCGGGAGTTTGCTGAAGTAGCGATTTCAAGCGTTATTTAACGATCTATAAAACTGGTGTAACGGTTTGAAACACATCTAAAGTGTCTAGCTTGTTCATTACGAAAGGTTTCATATATTTTGCTTATTTATAGAT